AGTGTTTTATAGGCAAATGTGACAGCCAATTTGCACACAGCAATTTTCTACTCAAAGCCATGAATTTTATGACCAATTTTATCTGGGGGATTGTTGGCCAAAACATTGGGTGAGACTCCGTTCTCTTTGCAAGTCGCACCACGGGATCTTTAATGTCCACGTGAACAGGTATTTGGGACCTTGGTTTAATGTTTCATCTGAAGGACGACACCTCTGACAATTCAGTACTCCTCAAGCACTGCATTGGAGTGTCAGTGAAACGATGTGAAATCAAAGTCCCGGCATGGAGCTTGAACCCACAACCTTCTGACTCAGAGGCGAGAGTCCGAACAACTGAGCCAGACTGCGACACTAAGCTGACACTTTAAAAATCTTGAATATTTCAATAAGCTCTCTCCTGAACTTTCTCTTGTTCAGTGCAAACATTCCCAGTTTCTGAGGCCTCTCCTCATAATTCAAGCATCCTAAGATCAACCTATGAATTCACTTATTCTTTACTGTGCTCTTATCTAATCCTAGAATGATCCTACAATGACCAGAATTGTACAATATATTTCATGTGGAACCAGTCCAATGGTCTGTACAAGTACAGCATCAAAGATAATATGATTTGTAAATGTTACAAAAGAGCTTTTATTGTGCTTTTAGCAGCACAATACACAGATGCATATAGATATCATGATAATAATAATCCTTAAATTTGGTGTAACCCCTTTCATGTCAGGAGGATGTCTGCACCACACAGTAAAATCCTGTGAAGTGTTTGAGACATCCTTCCAAAGTGATGTACTAAAAAGTGCAGTGACTATGAGTGCGTGTATGGGTATGTATTGTGAGCATATATCCTATATATAGATGGGAAGGAATGGGTAAAGGCTCAGAGGTCCATTATGTTAGCTCTTAAGTGAACCCGCTACCCCAAACCCCTCCCACCCACTTGCTCCTCCTAACTCAGAATATACACCCTCATATCTCTCCTGATGCCGGCCTCTCAGTCCTCTCTGTGAGGGAGGCAAAGAGATGGAGAAATCTAAAAGAAAGATCAATGTGGTGAAGAAAAAAGATTTATCTAGAAAATTCCTCTGAGACTCCCGAAGGCATTCAAGTGAACTCCAGGAGTGGCCAAGCCGTCACCCATCACCAATATGACAGCGTTGATTCTTTCAAACACAGATGGGATAGTTTTCTTTTAGGAAGTAACATTGAGGGATATAGTACATAGGTAGTTCGAGACATATGTTCATGCGACTGCCAGGGAGGTGGAAGGCGAACTAGATGGACCTTGGTCTTTTTTTTGTCTAGCATTTCTTTATGTTCTTATGTCCTCGGGGTGTAGGAGTGTCGAGCCTGAAGTGCTTTCTCTTCAGTCTGAAGGGGTAATCTCCAGTTCAGGAACATATTGAATCGAATACTTTGTGTTCTGCCATTACATTGATTCCATGCTGGATCTTGTAAATAATGTGTGTTGCAATGTGGACAAAAATAGTTTTCTATTAATACCAGTGCAGAATTTCAATGTGCCACTGCCAGAGAGAGAGCTGGTTCTCTAAATAATACGTCTCCAGTTTGGCAAGAGTATTTTTTCACTTCTTTGGTGGGCATCGACCTGGGGGAAACTGGAAATCCATCATGGAGGAGATCCGTTATTGTAAAGCACTCTGAGATGCCGACGGGCGTGGAGGGCGCTCTATAAATCCAAGTTGCTGTTGTAGCCATGGAGTTACTATAGTACATGCGTCTCCAGCTAGTAAAAAAACACACCAAACCCTGTGATGTTCAGCTGATATAAGGCACAAGGTTTGGTTAATGTGCAATGTCTCCAAAGGTTCACAAAGAACAGAATATATATTTCCTCCTTGCTTCATCTCCCGAAGGTGGTGCTCTCAAGGTGGTATGGGAACTACAGCTCATCTTTTTCTCTCTAGCATTCGGGCACTGAAACCAATTGTAGTGACCCATCTTTGCCGTTTGATTGATCGATTGATCGATAAGATAGATAAGGTAGGTACCTAGTCAATCCACTTAACAATATATTCCGTGAAGTGCTTTGAAACGTCTCAGTAACATAATAAGGCGCTATATCAAATACAAGGGTTATTATTATTAATAGATTTGACATGGTACCTTGATATCAGTTAACTCACCACACCTCTTGAGTGGACCTCTTGAGTTTGTATGGCTCAGTTTCAATCTAGGTGGTAATTCACTGAGCCATCTGAGCAGCACTATATTTACTTCTACTTGTGAGATACAACACCACCGGTGGCTAAACCTTGCCCAGACTCCAGCATTCCAGGTATGTCTCTTCTTCTTCCTATCAGGAAGTATCTGGCTTACGCAGCTTTGTGCTTCATACAACAACTGAATGTCTGCGATCAATAAGTCTGTACTGTGGGGGTTGTGGAGGTGAGCCCAGATTCCAGCACTTTGTGGCCATTATCATTATGAAACATTATGTTTCATAATCATACTGGCCACAAAGTGGTGGGAGAGATGGCGATGGACCGATTTCAAGGTTTAATGCTTCAAACAAATGGATGATCAGTTTGATTAGATCACTTCCTCCCGGCAGCTCGACACCAAAGTGTCCAACCCATAAAAGGAATACATAATGGGTCTGAGAGAGAAGCCGATGTCCAGATTGAACAATTTCCAATAATATGTATATGTGGTCGTAATACTAGCCCGCCACCCCTAGATGTCGCTAGTACGTTTCAATAAATAAAATATACTACACCTAAAAAAGAAGCATATTGATTAGATTTGGGATTGTTAGCACCTGTGTATCATAGTAATAATAATCCTTGCATTTGCTCTGGGACGCTATTCTTTCCCTTGGAGTGGCACTGTATAAATATAAAGTTGTTGTTGTTGTATTTGATACAGCACCGTTCAGGATTGGAGGTCTTAAAGCGCTTCACAGGATTTTTTACTGCAAAGTGCAGTGACTGTGTATTTTGCAGGTGGGGCGGGGGTGGCTAATATTCCCTGCGCACAGGAACCTCTAAAATCCATTATTGGGTCATTCGGTAAATTTTATCGTAACAATAATAATCCTTGCATTTAATATAGCGCCTTATCACGTCGTTGGGAAATCTCGAAGCGCCTCACAGGATATACTGTAAAGTGGATTGATTGACTGTGTATTTTGTGGGCTAAACAGGGCAGCCAATTGCGCACAGCAGCGTCCCCACAAACAGTCGTGGATGGAGTGACCACATTTGGGGGTGTGGATGTGTGCGGATGGAGAAGCGGGGAAAAACTTGCAGGGGCGAGATCTGGGGGGGGGGGGGGGGGGGTGCAATCCGGTGTTGGCGGAATCAATTAGCGTTCCTGGATTCCTCCTGTTCTATCTTTAAAACATGAAGTGTAACCTTGGAAAAATGGAACACCGCACACGAGAAATACATCCGAACACCACCCGACTGCAGATCTGTAAAGATCTTTAGCCTTTGTGTGTGTGTGTGTGGGAGGGAAGACAATTGCAAATCTCAGACTGAAGTTACTCTTCAACTTATTTTTTGGGGGCAAAAAAAAGTGAATGTGTGTGTGTGGGGGAGGGGGGGGGGTGAGGTGAGGGGGAGGGGTGGGAGGGGGGAGGTGAGGGGGAGGGGTGGGAGGGGGGAGGATAGAGGAGAGGGAGAGAAATTAAAAATATTTTTTGCATGAGTCTGACAATTCTTAAATCTGCAATTTTCTCCCCCCCCCATCCCCCAAACACTCCCCCCAAACACTCCCCCCCAAACACTCCCCCCCAAACACACACACCCCCCACCACACACAAAATCTCACACCACAGTCACATGGCTGTGTGTGCACAGGTTTCACTGATATTCTCTGCTGCAGAAGCGCTTTTTTTTTCCCCCATAAATTTTAGATGTTGCAGACAGATCGCGCGGAATATTAAAGGGTTGGGGGGTGTTGGAGAACAGCATCTTTCGTGCCTCACTCTCTCTTTTTTCATCCCTCTCTCCCTCCCTCCCTCTCTCACTCTCTCTCTCTCACACACACACACACTCTCTCTCTGTCTCCCTCTCACTCTCTGTCGGATCGATTGAGGCGATTGGATGCTGTTTCAGATTGAATCAGAAGGGATGGGTTGGGGATCAGGGCTGTGCTGGGGGGGGTGGGGGGGGGGACGTTTGACTGAGGGGAGGTGTGTGTGAGTGTGTGAGTGTGTGTGTGAGTGAGTCAGTGAGTGAGTGAGTGAGTGACTGTGTTATGCTCTCTCTCTCTCTCACACACACATCCATCAAACCAGACGTATCCGATCCTCCTTATAAGGAAAAACGTGTTAATTTCTCTCTCTCTTTCTCTCCCCCCCCCCCCCACCCCCCCCACACTCTCTCTCTCTATCTGTCTGTCTTACCTACCCAGGCGCTGTTTGCACGTCAGCCAGTCTCTCCCTCTCTCTCTCTCTCTCCTTTCTCTCTCTCTCTCCTTTGTCTCTCTCTCTCTCTCTCGTTCATCCTTTTCACAGCTCAAATAAAACATTTGACAACAGGGCGATCGCTGGGGCGGGTTGTGTTGTGTTGGGCTGTGTTGTGTTGGGCTGCCTGGCCCTGGCTGGGGAGGGAGGGAGAGAGGGGAGAGAGAGGAGAGAGGTGAGGGTGGTGGGGAAGGAAAGGCAACGTGTGTTACCAGACAAGTAGCCCACAAAGAAAGAAAGAAAACAACAATAACAACAACAATAACAATTATATAATAACAAATCGCACGAAAAGGGAGAGAGAGAGAGAGAGAGAACCCCCCACCTCCCACCCCCCCCCCCCACACACACACACACACACACTGACTGGGGGACTGGTCTGTGCTGTGCACCATTACCTGACACCCAGTCCCCACACACACGCACTCACTCCACTCACGCACTCACTCACTCACTCACGCACTCACTCACTCACGCACTGACTGACTGACTGAGAGAGCGGCTGTGCCCCCCCACCCCCCACCCCCCCACCCCCTGTCTCTCTCGCCGGGTGGAGTGGCTCTCGGGGCGGGCGGGCGGGCGGGCGGGGAGCAGTGCCGGGAGGCTCCGGGCGCTCTTGGACTCACGATGCCGGAGAACTCGCTTTGGATATTTGTGCAACAACAGCAGCAACAGCCACAACAACAACAACAACAACAACAGCAACAGCCGCCCAGGACTTACTGCTGTGTTCGGGGCCGTTTCTGATTCCGTTTCCAGCTCCGGGGTTCGTGTGTTAATTTTTTTTTTGGAGTCGGAAACAGACAACTTTACCCGAGAAAATCCGGAGAAGGGCGAAAATGACCAGAAAAGGTAAGTTGGAACCCCCCCTCTCTCTCTCTCTCTCTCTCTCTCCAACCCCCAACACTTCTGTATTTACTGAGTGCAACTCACCTGTGTTGGTGTTGTTCTTATTATATATAGAGAGAGAGAGAAATATATATATGTGTATATACATATATACATATATATATATACATCGTCGTTTGCTGATTTCCGATGGTTTGTTATCCTCTCTATGATTTGCATCTGATTTCTCAGCGATAAAAAGCGTATTAGACAATACAATATTCGTGTCAGACAATAATCCCGAACACTTATTGAAATAGATCGCCGCATTGCGAGGTCCGCGAGGCTGAGCTTCAGCCCTTTTTTACGGGTGTGGATGGGATTGTACAGTACATTTCGAGGTTTGTCGTTTCATTTGTTGCGTAAAAGAAAAAGGGCTCTCGAGCACAAAAACAAAAAGCCTCGGACTTTTAATGCAAGTTTTCGGAGCCGCGTTTGGCACAGTTTTGGACAGGAGTTGGTTTGGGGCTGAAGAAGATAAAGCACATCGCTGGTGTGTGTGTGTGTGTGTGTGTATATATATATATATCCCCGGGGTTGTGTTTGAGAGCGCTGTCTCATTGTCTGTCTCTGCCTTAATACTCTCCACTCTCTCCTCGTTGCTCTCGTTCTTTTTTTTTGCACATTACAGGTACCTTCTAAACATATCATTGATTTCTCCCCGTTTGGGACTCTTAGTTTATACTCCTTTATCCACCACTCCACACACACACACACACACACACACATATATATATATATAGGTGTGTATTCTGTCCCTGTGATATCTCACAGCTAAATCTTGTCCCCCACATTAACCATATCTTATGAATCGGGAACAAAATAATGAGGGGAAGCGATGGACAAAGAGGGAGAGGATATCTATCTATATATATATATATATAGAGAGAGACATAATCCTCCCCTTCACCTCCTCTCCCCCTTTGTCCCTCGCTCGCTCCCCTCATTATGTTGCCCCCGGATTCCCGAGAGACCCACAGGGAGCTCTGTGAGGGACCAGATATAGCTGTGAGATAACGGAGGGACAGGACGAAGGTCCACTTCAATAGGTATTAGTGTCCATCATGATTTGATGTCTTCCTTACTTTCAAAGTGGGACGAGGAGAGGCAGGTGGGTGCCCCCCCCCATCAATGAACGCCACTCTCCTTTCCTGAAGGGGAAAGCCATCTCTCTTTCCTTGTGCCAACTTCCATCAATAAAAACCGGCACAGCTGTTGTCCTTGTTTTGCCTCAATCGTGGCTCTCTCCAACCCGACACAGTCCCGGCGTTGTGGCCGTTGTGAGCTTCGGGGGTGAGACTCTGTGACTCTCTGTGATTTTTGCTATTCTCTGTTATGGAGCGCCTTCAGTGGCTGTAATCCACTGTAATCCTTAAAGGAACGGATGGAGGGGAGTACAGGTCAGTCTGTGTCTGCTGCCACCCCGCATGCCAACAGCCCCCCGAAAAGCCACCCATCTGTCATCTCCCCCCACGACCCTTTTCTCCCCCTTCCCCTGTTGTGTGTTAGCGCAAAACCGCTCACCTTTGGCAGGAGCTCAGAAGCACAAAAACAAGGCGTGTGTCTGTGTGTGTGTTGTGCATCTTCAGGCAGCGAGTTATAAATAAATAGTTATAATAAATACAGATCTGCCCATGTTAACTCCTTCAGGACACTCCTTCGCTCCTTTACAGTGCTGGGCTGGGGGCTGGACTGGGGGCTGTGCTGTGCTGGGCTGGGGGCTGTGCTGGGCTGGGCTGGCTGGGGCTGTGCTGGGGGCTGTGCTGGGCTGGGGGCTGTGCTGGGCTGGGGGCTGTGCTGGGCTGGGCTGGGGCTGTGCTGGGGCTGTGCTGGGCTGGGCTGGGGGCTGTGCTGGGGGCTGTGCTGTGCTGTGCTGGGGGCTGTGCTGTGCTGGGCTGGGGGCTGTGCTGGGCTGGGTTGGGGGTTGTGCTGTGGTGGGCTGGGGGCTGGGTGCTGTGCTGGGGCTGTGCTGGGTTGGGCTGGGGGCTGTGCTGGGTTGGGCTGGGGGCTGTGCTGGGGCTGGGGGCTGTGCTGGGGGCTGTGCTGGGTTGGGCTGTGCTGGGCTGGGGTCTGGGGGCTGTGCTGGGTTGGGGGCTGTGCTGGGGGCTGTGCTGGGCTGGGTCTGGGGCTGTGCTGGGCTGGGGGCTGTGCTGGGTGGGGGCTGTGGGCTGGGGGCTGTGCTGGGTTGGGCTGGGCTGGGGGCTGTGCTGGGCTGGGGGCTGTGCTGTGCTGGGTTGGGGGCTGTGCTGTGCTGGGGGCTGGGAGCTGTGCTGTGCTGTGCTGTGCTGGGTTGGGGGCTGTGCTGGGTTGGGGGCTGTGCTGGGTTGGGTTGGGTTGGGAGAGAGAATCAAACCTCCCTGAACTCACTCACTGACATCTCTTCCAGCGATATCTCTTATCTCTTCTCTTCCAGAGATAAGAGGTTTTCTATCTCGTATCAGTAGAGATGAGAAGGAAAGTGATAACAGATCGGAACAAGGACGGGCAGAGCTCTCACATTAGGGTCGTGAAAGGTGTTGTCGAGCTTTGTTTAAGTGGGTCATTAACCTTTTTGGTGTTCCTGGTTTTGGGGTAAAACTGCTCAGTTCAAACCAGAGCCGCGTTAACTCTCTCTCACATCGCGAATAAAACGCCCCTGAAAGAGGAGGTGAGACTGGAGTTCCAGTGTGGGTTTTTTACACCCTCAAGAATTTTTAAAAAAGAAATAAAATCGATTCCCCTCCATGGGAAAATCGGTTATGGAAATTAGTTCCCAATCGATTTGTTTTTGATCAACGATGCCATCTCTTTACACACACAGTTAAATCGCGAGTGATGGTCTAACACTGATAATGAGCGAAGAACTTGAGCTCTACATTACACCAAAGCAAAAAAATATATATTATATATATATGTGTGTGTATAGACTTCTTAACACAGTCCCGAAATGTAATTATTCGGTGGGAAGGGGCTTCGTTGGTCACCAGCAGTGAGAATATTTACAGCCCCTCTTCAATCGGAGTGAAAATAATACATTAAAACCTCTTATTTCTGACACCGAGGAACCTCATCAGCACAAACTCCGTGAACCACTTTCCTACCCCGTTCGTATGTTCATCCTCAACCCCAACTGCCGTGGGGTTTCCATTCAGACGCGTCCGTTTCTCAGCAGCTTTTTACCATAAAGAATAGGGTTTTGAAAAAAAAACGAGGAGATTTTTTTTTAAAAAAAATAATTAAAACGAAGGAGTCCGATCCTAATTGCACTCAAGCCCCGATCAGATCAATACATGCACCGTTATGCACGATAGAGAATGGAGGTATCTGCTTTAGGGGGTAAAACAAAATCCCAGGTTGGAATTCAGAACATTGCATGCACACAAACCTGTGTACAGAAATCTGATATAACTGTCGGACCTGGAGAGCAAACAGCACTGGATTACTGGAGAACTGGTTTATGATCAGGAATTGGGTATAAAATGAACTGTTGTGGAGACGCACAGCAAAAAAAAAACCAGACAATTGGCCTGGAATGTAAACCCTTTGTGTTCAGCTGCCCAACTGGGGGTTCAGCTGCCCAACTGGGGGTTCAGCTGCCCAACTGGGGGTTCAGCTGCCCAACTGGGTGCTCAGCTGCCCAACTGGGGGTTCAGCTGCCCAACTGGGGGTTCAGCTGCCCAACTGGGGGTTCAGCTGCCCAACTGGGGGTTCAGCTGCCCAACTGGGGGTTCAGCTGCCCAACTGGGGGTTCAGCTGCCCAACTGGGTGTTCAGCTGCCCAACTGGGGGCTCAGCTGCCCAACTGGGAGTTCAGCTGCCCAACTGGGTGTTCAGCTGCCCAACTGGGTGCTCAGCTGCCCAACTGGGGGTTCAGCTGCCCAACTGGGTGCTCAGCTGCCCAACTGGGGGTTCAGCTGCCCAACTGGGTGCTCAGCTGCCCAACTGGGTGCTCAGCTGCCCAACTGGGGGTTCAGCTGCCCAACTGGGTGCTCAGCTGCCCAACTGTGATCAGATGAAAGTTCTGATCAGATCCAATCAATTTCAGCAGGTCCAGAAACTCGTTTCTCCTTCTCTGTGCTTGGTTGTCAGTAAGCCTGAAGAAAACATACACACCATCTTAGGATATGGTGAAGTCAGCAGGTTTAACAGACAGACGCAAGGCAGTCCTTGAACTACATAGAATTACCTAGAGTGGTAAGGCAGAGAGACAGGCCATTCAGCCCAATTAGTCTACGCCAGTGTTTATAATCCACCCCTCGTATTTCCCTCTCTACTGAACCCACCTCCATTTAGTAACCTCTCATATATGCATCAAGTAAATACTTTGATGCTTCTTACTTCAATCAGTGAGTTCCACATTCTCACCACCCTCTGCATAAAAAAGTTCCTCTTACAGGCATTAAATTAAAAGGCTCTGATGACATTAAGAAACCCTAGAAATTGGGGAGAAACCTTAGGCAAGTTTCCTTACTCAACACGCCCTGTTTATGTAACAGTAAGTAGGAACCCAGTTATTAGTCATTTGGCGGATCCCTTTCCGGGCTAATAATTCCTCCAATCCATGTCACTCAATCCACGACTGTTTGTGGGACACTGCTGGGCGCAATTGGCTGCTGCGTTTCGCCCATAAAAAATACAGTCAATTTGCCTTACAGTATATTTTGTGAAGTGCTTTGAGATGTCTCGAAGACATGGTAAGGCGCTATATCAAATGCAAGAATTATTATTATTATAGAAACATAAGAACAAAATCTGAGTTGTCTTTCAACAACGCCAGAGCCCCAACATTCACACACAGCCTTGTCTCTCATTGCCACCATTTCTAAAACGTATACTGTACTGAATATATCTCATGCAGTGTCTGTCTAACTAGCTTGTCTATTTTTGGTTAAGCAGAGCTGAGTCAATTGCTGATGATGATTGTTGTTTTTTGGTGTGGTATTTATTGTTTTCCTGCCATTGGGAAGTGATGTTGGCGGATGATGC